GGGTCTGGGCCCGAAACGTCAGCTTTCCTGCTCCTCTGATGCTGCTGGGCCTGCTGTGTTCATCCAGCTCTACAACTTGTTATCTCTGTGTATTGTTTGCTTTTTTTTCACAAATACAATAAAAGTATCAGCTGTACCTCGAAACTGGGTAATGTATTCAGAAAAGACTGGTCATATCCTGAATGTCCTGAGTCTCCTGTACATTTTGTGTTTTGCAGGCAGACGGCAGTAACTGACGAGGCAAAGTTCTTTCTCTCCCGATTAAATGTTGCTTGGCTCGCTTCCTTCATAGCAGAAGCACGGAGAACAATAAAGATTGGAAATGTTTACTTCACATCGTCGAAACGTTACAGTCCAAACTCACCTGGTTTTCTCCTCATTTCCCCATCTTCCATATTATTTACGTAAAGCTCTTCCTAAATGTAATGTGCGGCAAGACTTGACTTTTACATTTCATCAAGTTTTATATCCAATTATATTTGAAATAAAGTGATGGTATATATATTCTAATGACGCTCGGGCACAATGTGCAATGTGACTTCCAGCTCTGTGCTGTTAGAACTTAGTCTCGACAGCACTCTTCAGTATCTCGGGGAGATAGTAAATGTGGCCTATCAAGGCATGTATGTAATATACTTTGTGTTGTGCCTTGATGTTAAACGCTATAAATTACATGATTGTACAGTATATTAATGACATCGTAAATATTGTATCAATTGTGAAATCCGCAAGATAAAAAATATTTTCGATACATTGACGTCGCGATACTTTTATTGGACGAAACTGTTTGGAGGAGCTGTAGTGTTGAATTAACTGTAGTGGTGGGCAGACTTCCCTCATTAACTCCCATAGACAAAAGAAAAGGACATTTCTGGAATAAATAGCAATATTCACCTTCCCCTCCTGGAGACAACATTTACTTCCAGTTCATCACAAATAATAAGGCAATAGGGTGGCCTTACTAGTAACAAAAAAAATATAATTTTACATTTGCAGTCAATGGCTCAGTCCCATAGAGCCATAGAGTTGTACAGTATGGAACAAACCCTTGGATCCGACTCAATCACACTGACCAGACATCCCAATCTGACCTAGTCCTATTTGCCAGCTTTTGGCTCGTATCCCTCTAAACCCTTCCTATTCATATGCCCATACAGATTCCTTTTAAATGTTGTAATTTTACCCGCATCCACAGCTTCCTCTGGCAAATCGTTCCGTACACACACTGCCTTCTGCATGAAAATGTTACCCCTTAGGTCTGTTTTAAATCTTATCCCTCTTACCTTACACATATGCACTCTAATTTTGGAACCCCCAACCCTAGGAAAAAGACCTTGGCTATTCACCCTATCAATGCCCCTCATGATATTATAAACCTCTATAACATCACCTCTCAGCTTCTGGTACTCCAGGGACAAAAGCCCTAGCCGATTCAGCCTTTTTCTATAACTTAAACCTGCCAGTCCCAGCAATATCCTTGTAAATCTTTTCTGCACACTTTCAAGTTTAATCTTTCCTAAAGCAGGGTGACCAGAACTGTCCCCTCTGAAATACCAGGGCAGAATCCACCTGGGTTTCGGAACTGTGGGGAACACCATCCACCTTGATCTAGTGAAGTTAGTTTGATTACCATGGTTTCAAATGCTTCACAGTATCCCACAAATGTACATTGGTGCTTGACATTTTGTTAAGCAAGTCATAGCCATGGTTAATCTATGCTGATTATCTAGCGCAGTGTTGATGAAGTGCTGCACTTTAAGAAGAAGTGTTTTTCATTTGATACCTTAAAGTAAGGCCCTTCTAGTCCTCTTAGGTGGATATTGAATAACCCTTGGCACAATTTCAGAGAGAAGCAGGAGAGTCCCTCAACCATGCTCACAAAAAGTGATTATCTGGTCACATTACATTACTGGACATGACAATCTGCAGTCGATTTTCCACTTTCAAAAGTACTACAATGGCTACAAAGTTCTTTAGTTAGGATTGGGAAGTACTGAAGGTTGGAAATGTCTTATGATTCATTTTGTTTTCCTTTTTGAACAAATCAGCCAACTAAAAAAAGTTATATTTTCAACAGGGCAGTCTAAATTTTTGCATGGGGGAAGGAAAGGGGGTTTCTTGTCCTCTGGTGTGTGGGTGGTGCAGTGGGTGGGGAGCAAATTTCAGGAACATTAGGCTTGGCACAACAGAGAACATACTTTAAGAAGTCAATTCCACAGCGGTAAAATGATAATTTAAATAAATGAGTAATTAATAAAAATGGCCATTGATAAGATGGCAAACAGAAGATGTAACTAAGAAAAGATTACCGCCTTGGTTAAGAAACAGAGAGAGACAGAATCAACTCTAAGCACTGATCAACAGGGAATAATATTAGGAGGACGGCTGAGCTAGGGTAGGCTTAACTGACACTGACTTTGTGTGCATTTTTGATGATGTA